GAATCATTCCATGAATTTTGAATGCGATTTCATTCTCATTTGATAAGCTTGTACAGCATGGTAAGACTTTGCGACAAAGCTATTCAACGTATTTCTGGGCCTTTGAAGATTTTTCACTTGACAACAAGTGACCTTTAATTGGTTGCTACTATCCATCTTACTATAATTTTTGCTTTGTGTGCAAGTTGACATTATTGGTCTAGAATTTCAACCCAAAACATGCTTAAATGATTGCAGGAGTCGAACTACTAAATCCGCAACTCTTAGCAATGACCAACTATGAAGTAAATGTTTTTGTGTTCTACCGTATTTGCTTAACTAATGAATCCAATTAAATACTTCCTTGACTTTGTACATACTAGAAACTTTGTTTTTCATATGTTCGCTCACTAAATCAACGTATATCATCATTTTCTATATTCCTGATGCTTTTACTAAAATGTGTAGGAGGGTTGGAGCGGGTTCCGGAGACCCATTGGCTGCATGTTCTATCACAAAAAAGCAGATCAGAAGCAAGCCTTTATCGATTTCAAGTCTACGCAAGCCTGCTGCCGCCCATCAAAAATTTGTGAGAGGCGCAACTATGTATCCTCTGGAGCATAGTCCTGGTCATGGTCTTCTTTGCACAGTGCCGCCAAGTTAAATCCATGGATTATTTGTCGAAGTTCGTCTAAACGAAAAGTCAATGCAGAGAAAGATTGAAAGGCAAAGAAGGCATTGTTGAAGCATGCCTAAGAAAAGCCTTTTCATTTCTGCAAGGTACGAACTTCCGCATGCACATCCCGGATTCCTGAAACTGGGAAAGTCTCAGAATCCGTCAATTCTTATCCCTTTCTTTCTAGCAACAGCACGATCATTCATCTGGATCTGCTGCTCCCATTGAAAGGTTTTGGTGGTTATTTTTCACCCATGTTCATGTAACTTAGTTCGGAGAGTAATTACAAAGGCCCTTCATCCTTCAGGCTTGTTCCTGCTCGCCGGAGAGACAACTTTTCTCCTGTGAAGTCTGCATTGGCGAGGTGAGTGGATCTTGATTTAGTTATAGATATTTTAAATTAATTTTGAACTGCTCCACATCGTATTGAGTGGTTTCATCACCTCAAATATTTTTGTGAAGCTTTCGAGGTAGTTAGATCTGAAACTTGGGGTCTTTAGAACGTTCCTCGTGTACTTGCTTTAGCTTTGGTCCATCCGTTTGGGAGTTGCTTATGGCCTCTGATATTTGCTCCTCTGGGTGGAAGTCAGCATCATGAGTTTAATTGGGTTTAGGGTTTGTAGAAGTCATTTTATAACGATTTGTTTTGTACTTTTAATTTATATATAAAAAAGTATATTCTATAACGATCACTATTTTCTTTTCTTTTTCTTTTGTTTATTTCTTTAGCAAAATTTCTCAATTTGAAAAATAAATGGTCTGACTTAAAAAAGGAAAGAATTATGAGACCTGACTTGTTTTTTTGTTTTTGTTCTTACTCGGCGCTAGTTGAATTCTATTTGTTCTTTTATTTCTCATAAGCTACATTTTAAATATTAAACAAAAGAAACAATAGTTTTTAATGTTTGAACTCTAGAATGATTTTACAAGTGAATTCATTTACTTTTTATTCAAAACTTTCAACGTCTAAATAATTTATCTACAAAGTAAGAAAACCATTAATAAGTGATGGCTACTAAACAATTTTTATGAGAAAAAATCAAAATGGACCTGCTGTATTAGTTATTGTCTCGAAGGAATTCAAGTTGGAAAAAGAGACGAATGAAATTTGTATGGTTAAAAAAAAATGTCACTAGTAATTTGCTGTATCCAATCAATACACAGCGTGAGCTTGAGAGTGCCTGTGAGATGAGAACACCGATGTCTTTCAATTTTTGATAACAAAATATATAATTAAATTGTCGTCTACGACCCAGAGTCATTAAAAAATATTATAAGTGCATATTTGATGTATTTTTAGGATATTAGGATTTAGGAACATCCTTCCGGATGCAGGCTGCAACATAGGTATAGGTATTAAAGTTCACCATTTATTCTAGAAGGGCCCCTTTCTGACGACTTTATCAATCTGCTTGACAATGAAAGCAATCAGAAATATAGAAATGGACATCTAAAAACAAACAAAAAAGAATATATATATCTATATATAGATGTAGGATAAACTTCTTTACTTTCATACTCAAGTATTGTTATTTGAGAATGTATTTGATGTTATATCATAGAATTGTCTTAAATTATGATTTTCTTATGTTCCAACTATGGTCAAAGAATGGACCAAAAGCATGATAAGAAAATAGTGTTACAGAAATAGAACTTCTTTGAATTAAAATATGACTCAAGGAATCCCTCCAAATTATAAATCATCATACAAATTCCCATGAAAGGAGGGGATCTAATTGAAGGCAAGAAGCATATATACATTTATGAAAAGAAAATAAATGGCCAAATTTGCAGTATTATCTCACTCAAGGAATAAAGACATATCTATCCAAATGTTGGACTAAATTCCAAAAAATGCTATTAAAAAAAACATGGAACGGTCATGTTTTAAAATTTCGTAACCATAGAAATTCTATGGTGAAAAATTAATATTTTTTATACATGAAATAATTAGAAAAATGTGGAAGAAAACACTTGGGCGTCCCCATCTCCACATCCACATAGTACCTACCTTATTTCTTGAATTGTCATTTGTCATACAATTTAATATTGTTCATTAAAAAGTGATTTGGAAAGGTTTCTAGTTCTTGTTCACCCACCTTGCCTTTTTTTTTGCCAAAAAAGGATCTTTAGACACACTTTGGAAGTTGAAAATTAATTGTGTCACTCATTATTACTGCTTTTTTCTTTTCTTTATTTTGATTTAGAGTAGATGGTTCTTGGAACAAAAATCAATAAAAGTGAGATATTAAAGTGCGGTGAAAAAGTAGATGGAATTTTAAGAGATGGCCCAGAAATGAAAGTGTAAACAGTCTGACTCTGAGGAGATCTTGAAAAAGGCTCTGGCATGTAATTGAAACAACCAAAAAGAGTTTTCAGCTTCATTTTGCAATTGGATTCACTTCTTTTGGTGAGAGAAAGAGAAAAAAACTCCAATACAAATGGAAATCCGGCCACCATGTCCGGCGGCCGGCGGCTGCTGTCCTCCTCATCGCCGCCGCACCCACCGCCGCTGACTTTTCCAATTCCGCGCGACTCACCCACCGTTCATTCTAGAAAATAAATCGGATTTGTTTATATCAAAAAGAAATTAACTGAATTTTGATTAGCTTCAAATCTGAAAATGGAAATACCATACCAATCCACTTCATTCTTTTCTTCAGCTTAATTTTGACTTATTATCCTTTTTAAGAAAGGGAGGTTTTGAAATTTGGAAATGCTTTAGACTATTTTTGTTGTTTATATGCAAAACAAAACTCTAGCTTTTTATTATTTATTTTTGTCTTAGACTCCATGATTTATATTAAAATAAAGGGCCAATTACAAAAATGGTGGAGCAACTCTAGACCTTTTATTTATTGCAGATATTTTAAAAAATTATAAAAGTAACGTGTAAATAATTTGACCAAATTATTGATATATCGCATGTCAAATTAAAAAATATAAAAATACATGGCAGTGGGGGAAAGCCAATAGGGTGGGAAGTGAGGGACACGCTCTTAAAATGCGAATGGGGGTTGTAGTTGCTATTTTATAACAAGTTTTTGTTCATCCAGCTGCAATTGCTGCCCTTTTCATACTCATACCTACGCACTTTCTTTGCTTCTTTCTTTCTTGGATTGGCATTTGCAGAATCTCTGGTTCGCGCGCTCACCTTCCTAATTCTCATTTGCTCCCCGCCATGAAAGTTCCTCTGGAAAACGACCATTTCGCCGTCTCTAACCAGCTGATTTCTTCTCTGCTTGACGATATTCCGGTCATCAGCAATTTCAAGGGCAAATGGTCCTCGATCAGAGCCAAGCTCTCCGATCTTCGGACCCAACTGCTCGATGTCTCCGAGTTTCCGAACTCGTCCTCCAATCCCCTCTCTCTAGATTTCCTTCATTCTGTTTTCGAAGCTCTCAGTGAGGCGACTTCTCTCTCGCAGAGGTGCCGGAACCCGGAACTTTCCGGCGGCAAGCTCAAGACCCAGAGCGATGTTGACTCCGTTCTCGCCAAGTTGGACTGCCTCCTCAGAGACGGTGATGTGTTGATTAGAAGTGAGATTCTTCACGACGGTGCCGTTTCGAGCTCGTCGTCTAAAAGGGAGGCCGTGCGCGCCGAGTCGAGAAATTTGATCACGAGGTTGCAAATTGGGAGCATTGAATCGAGGATATTTGCAATTGACTCGCTGTTGCAGTTGCTGAATGAGGATGATAAGAATGTGACGATTGCTGCGGCTCAAGGTGTTGTTCCTGTTCTTGTTCGTCTACTCGATTCCAGCTCTTTGGAACTGAAGGAGAGGGCCGTTGCTGCTATATCTATTGTTTCCATGGTGGATGGTGTTAAGCACGTACTGATTGCTGAAGGTTTGCCGCTTTTAAATCACTTGCTGAGGATTCTCGATTCCGGTAGCGGTTTTGCCAAAGAGAAGGCCTGTTTAACCCTCCAACCGCTGAGCATTTCAAAAGAAAATGCGAGGTCAATTGGTTCTAGAGGAGGAATTGCATCTCTGTTAGAGATTTGTGAGGCCGGTACTCCCGGTTCTCAAGCCTCTGCAGCTGCGGTTCTGAGAAATCTTGCTTTGTTTAGTGAAATTAAAGGGAATTTCATGGAAGAAAATGGGGTTATAGTTCTTTTGGGGCTTTTGGCCTCGGGAACTCCGTTGGCTCAAGAAAATGCAATTGGGTGTTTATGTAATTTAGTCGTTGACGATGATAACTTGAAGCTCTTGATCGTTAGAGAAGGTGGGATTGAGTTTTTGAGGAACTTCTGGGATTCAGCTCCATCGGTTCGCAGTCTCGAAGTGGCGGTGGAGCTTTTGAGGCTCTTGGCTTTGTACTCCCCGCTGGCCGAAGCTCTTATTTCAGATGGATTTATTGATCGGCTTCTTCCAGTTTTGAGTTGCGGAGTATTAGGTGTGAGAACTGCAGCGGCTCGAGCAGTTTACGAACTCGGATTCTGCACGAAAACGAGAAAAGAAATGGGGGAAGCTGGATTCATCACACCCTTGGTTAATATGTTAGATGGTAAGTCTGTTGATGAGAAAGAAGCAGCTGCCAAGGCATTGTCTTCTCTACTACAATATACCGGTAACAGAAAAATTTTCCAGAAAGAGGAGAGAGGGATAGTAAGCGCAGTTCAGTTGTTAGACCCTTCAATCACAAATCTAGACAAGAAGTACCCTGTTTCATTGTTATCCTCAGTTGTGATTTCAAGCAAGTGTAGGAAGCAGATGGCTGCTGCTGATGCTGGTTTGTACCTACAAAAGCTTGTTGAAATGAATGTAGAGGGGTCTAAGAAGCTGTTGGAAAGTCTTGTCCGTGGTAAAATCTGGGGTGTCTTTCCTAGATCTTAGCCGTGGAGGACATTTCCAAAAGTCTGTTTATTGTATAGAAGCAGAAGCATGATTCATGGATCTGTATGTACAATAGATGCCTGTATATTTTTAATTAAGTCTTGATTTTAGTTTACGTGTTAATAACTTTTCTGTTCTGTGGTAGAAAATGTCAAATGCTGCACTATGCCAGCTGAGTTTGAAGATCACTTTTACAGACATGATCTAGGTTTGATGACCCAACTCGATTTTGATTCTGTGATCATACTGTAAACTTCATTGTCCAATAATCGAATGACATACCTGCAATTATTTTAAGAACTGTTCTCTATTATATTAGATTTTATAGTTATCCTACATACTGATGCTGTATTATTCTAATGAAACAATGTGATCAATATCAGGATGATTGAATTGAAACTTAGAAGTTTTGATACCCACCTGAATTTTTTTTTCCTACAATTCAACTGGTGGAGAAGGTAGCATGGCCTGCTCTGATTTGTATTGGAAGCCGGAGACTTCTTTGTTAATAAATCCAAGTATGTATCTTTAATTCTGCAAGGCTTTTGCAATCCATGAATTCTGGAAGATGATCCTTTTCAATTCTTCCATATATTCTTCAAACATAAAATTATTAAGGTAGGTTTCTGATTGCCTTTTCAATTGTTAATTATGTGAATATCTTATTTACAATACCTTCTTACCTTCTGATCATGAACTTTAGAATAATTGTATATCATTCTGACATTATTGATCCGAGATGGTGCCTATTTGGTGATGTTGATCCTCCCTGTAACTGTGGGTCTAAAGCACGTGCATCTGTAGTTAAGCATGTGCTTTGTTCACTGATTAAGGCAGGAATTAGACTGTCTTTGTTGGCTGGTGCCTTAACAGGTAAGGGTCCTACTCAGCTCTTGGCCCATTCCAGCCACTGCTCTGTTGACTGACCTAGCTAAGCTTACTATTTTATTCTGTCCACCTCTTTTCTTTTTTTTCCTTTTCTTTTTCTTCTTCTTTACATAATGTTGTCCAGGTTGAACCAGATATCTTTCTTTATTTTGTAAGCAGTAAACAAATTACTGCTTCCTATATTCTTAGCTATAGTGGATTTGGCCCAATTTAATAGTCTAGAGGTGGAGAAATGGATTGGAGGAACAGAACTTTTGAGCAAGTTGTGGGCCTTTCCCTGCCCTGCCCTTCTGTAGCCTAGCTGGTTTCATGATGAAATTATTGGGATAAGCCCAGTATTTAATCATGAAAATTGTCCAAAAAATAGAAACACTGTCTGTGAGAGGGGGCCCTTGAATCTTATAAATAAGATTTAAAGAATAATCAGCAGAAACATTATTGGACTCCCCTTCTCTTATCAACCAGTCTTGAGGAGACGGTTTAGTAACTTCTAGAACTCCCAAAATTCTTAATAGCATGGCAACGGTGGAGCAGATGGTGGATGCTTTTGTCCACTGTTCTATCGAGATACGATATCCCAGAGAAGAGAAGAAAAGAAATGGCAAAAGGGAGCTAAAGTTTGGTTTATGTTTCCTAACCTGGACGTTCGCTTTTCTAGTCCTTTCCCTTATTAAACTCATCCATATCTGCTGCTCGTTGATCTCCAGGCGCTTGAATAAACCCAGCTGAAATTGGATTATAGATGAGAATTGAACAGTTGGCGATAGACGAAGAAATTAATCCCAAAAGGAAAACTAAAACAGATTGTGAAATTGTGGATGAAATTTCACTTCCTCCACGTACAGAAGTACATGATGAAACTGAAAGGAACACATTAAATTAGTTAGGAACAATGGTAGACAGTAACTCTCCTCGTTGTCTTGGGCTGACAGATAATAAAGAAAGCCATAGCCAAGACCAGAGCCACAAGCAATCCAGCCAGCACATTATTATCATCTGATTCCGAGCAGCACTGCATTCTTCTGTATATATTCAATTCTAGCTCTTCACAAACCTGTCAAACTTGTAACCTAACCGTGATCTTCCTGAAAACAAAATAAGAGAAACTATTCTGGGTCTGCAAAGAGTTTAGTGTGGCCCTGAAAGTAGCAAAACTAAAACACTAACATAGAAGTGGTATAAGACTTCTATCCAAAATCTGTAGGCAGCAAATAAAGATTTGACACGTTAGTCACAAATGTGGCTCCCGCTGTTCTAGTTGTTCTGTTTGCTTGCGGCTAAAAGTCAGCTGTCAGTAGTTCTTCTTCGTATGTTATTTGGTGGCTGAAGACCGCGTTCCCAGTTCCAATTCACCTCTAATGGACATAGTGGTGTTGGGATCTTTAGCTTTTTTTTTTTTTTTTTTTTTTTCCTGTTCTTGGCTTGTAATGCGATGATTCATGTTGAAATTGATGCCAAGTTCATATGTGCTTGGGCCTTTTTGTTGCAATATGGCCCTAATTAGTGGCATTAGGGGTCTTGGGCATTTCCCTTTTGGCTCAGTCAAATCATGAAATTAAGTGTTAAAAATGTAATTTCCTTTTCCATGTTACAGATTTGATTTTCTTTCTAGGAATTTTTTTTTAGTTCTTCCCTTTCATCTTATAGAATGCGTTTAACCATAGCATTAGATTTGTTTGATTATAATGCATCCTCTTATTCTAGAAAACATAAGATAACATATATGAAAATGAAAAATGTCATTTTCATCTTTGAAAAATATGAAAACTGTCAATGCACAAATGAAAGACTTATACTTCAACATTCTTATTATTGTTATTTTAAGAGTATTACATTATAAATATGGAAGATGAGATTTAAACTTATGACCTGGGAAGGAAGGTATTGGTGCTTGGCCACTTGAGCTCGACAACTTTATTATATTTATTTTCAAGTTTAAATCATCATATTCAACAAATCTAGAAAGTAATTCAAGTAAATATCAACCCTGTTAGAAGAATAGAATGAGTTGCAGTGTGGTGGGGGATGGATGAAGATATGATAAAATCCTGAGGATAAAACAGCCATTACAATGATGGGCAAAGTGATGGACAAAATCAATAAACAAAGAGGAAGCATTTTGAAGATGTAATGAGACAAGTGTGGAAGATTGAAGAAGAAGTGACAGTACAGTAGGAGGGAGACAAGAGAAAAGTTTTGACCAGTGGTCTGCTTTTATGATGCCAACAAAGAAACATGGTTCTCTTCAAAAACAACAATGAAACAATCACTCAACAAGAAATAACAACATTCTCCACCTTTTAATTCCACACCAAAAATTCTCATCCTTTTCAGCCTTTTTTCTTCCCACCTTCAGCTCTCACCAATCATCACAAAAACTTGCTCCTTTTTCTTGCTTTTCAACAAAAGCTTCAATTATTACAAATAGACAACTGCAACATGAAACGAGAAACAGAAATTTCACCAAGTGGAAGAGCCTGAGTTGTTTATTCTGGAAAAAGTAGATGGGCGAGTGAGTGGCGAGTTGTCTGTCACAGATTTCGATGATTCTTTCACCTAGCTGTGACTGGAGCCATTCAATCCGTGGGACTGATTCGTGCCAAATGTCGATGGATTTGGGCAGTGACTGTGAGTCACAGAAAGGAAGTCAGAGAAAAAGACATGAAAATGTCAGCACTTCTGTCTATGAGCATTTAATATATAATTGGAGCTGCTTCATTTCTTCTCAATTCAATCTTCCAAAACTTCAAATCAACGCGGTTTTGAGTTTTCTAACCGGATGAAATTTGCTGTTTCCAGATTTATTTTCCATTTGATTTTTAATCTTTACCAAATTTGGTTTCTGTAGTTGGGATTTTTTTTTTTCAAATTTTGTTCTTCCATTAAAATTTTCAATTTAATTTTCATGTTTTAATTTTAAGTCTTATCTCTACATTTTTTCTTAAGAAGTTGACACATGAGTGTGGAATGCAAGGGAGAGTGAAGAAGAGAGATTTTTTTTTAATAATTATTTTTAGAAGTTTTAAATAGTAATTTGTCAAACAAAGAAATTTGTTCAGTTTTGTGAAGGAGTTATTTTATTCACTGATTAGGGGATGCAAAGGGATATTTATAGAAAACAATCTTGCTAACTAATCGGTATTAACTATTAACAATTGTTAGGTATTAACTATTAACAACTATTAACAAATTATCAAAAACCACATATAATAGAAATTAACAAACAAATAACATCTCAACACAACATCATATGCTCGTACAGTGGATAAGAAAGTATTGTTACAGAAAAAAAAAAAAAGTTCTAGTGGTCTCCATTATTTAAAATTGTTTAAATTGATACCTAAAATTTGGTTAAACTCACAAATTATTCGTTCTAAAACACAATTAACCAAATATAAGATTCTAAATTTATAAATTTTAAAATCAAAGTGACCAATTTAGACACTAATTCCAAATAAAAAATAATATTGAAACTTTTAAAATGATGCCGACCCAATTATTAGACCGATTTGACAAACATAACTTTGATTAATAAAATTTATTTCCTTTTTCTGAAATGAATCGTATACTTTTAGTTTGCTACGCCCTTATTTTGTTCAATTTTCAACGCCCACTTTTTAGTCTCATGAAAAAATCTTTTTTTTTTTTTTAATTATAAACAATTTCAAAGGTATAAAACGAAATAAAATAGACTAATTTTTTCGATGCAAAGAGTCAAAGTATAAAGATTGAAGTTGAAGGGGAGATCGATTTCCTTGAATTATGCAAAGATTCAAGTCAGTGGTGGTTAGTTTTCAACCGAAACATGGTTTGAAATTTGAATAAATATGAAATTAGTAACTTTCAAACTTAATAATTATTCTCTATCAAAGACTTATTGTATTGTAGCCTCTAAGAATGTTTTTGGTGGATGCTTTCTTTGGTCATATTTCTACCCTTTCAAACTTCACATCTTTTTTTCAACACCTAAACATTATTTCAATTCTCTATTTATTAAAAACAACAAAAATATAAATTTCCTTAATCAATAGACTTGATATATATTCTATTTCCAATTAATTGTTTGCCTCTTTTTGTCATTACCTTCATTTATTCATCGAGACTTTTGTATTAATTATTAAATTAATATGTTACTCCTCTCCTCCTTCCTTTATATCTTTGTACGACTCTATATTTGTTGCACTTTGTAATAAAAACAAGATCGAATATAATTGAATTGCAGAAYCAAAAATAATTAAACCAAACCAAATTAAGGTCATGTTTATTGAACCAAAAAAAAAAAAAAAAAGAAGAAATAAAATAAAACTGTTGCTTTTTATTTTTGCTCCAAATACAACCAAAACGTAGCTCTCGTTTCTCTGCCTCGATTTCTCAGCAATAAATGAGACCCAACCCCTCTAAAAAAACACCCCTTTTAATAGATTCAGCTTGGTAGGTAATATTTAATTCACAACAACTCTTTTTTTCTTATTTTAATCTTCAAAAACAATAAATAATAAAATTCAATCCCTCCTCTCTGACTCTTCACAAATCAGATCCACCCTACTTCTGTATTTGTTTTAAATTTCAATTTTTTTAATTATATTTCTCATTTTTATTTATTGCTAACGTTCTGCAATGGTCAATAAGAGAGTGACAACTATAGTTTTTAATACATGAAACCGTAGAAAATATCAGTCCTCTTGGCCTTGTTCCCGCGAAACTGAGAAGAATTCTGATTATAATTTCCAAATAACTCAAATACCCTTCATTTTAACCAATTATTTTTCAAAAATTTAGCCAAATTTCATAAAACTAAAGACAGATTTTGGAAGTGGAAGCTTCCAAACCGTGGTTGGTATGGTATGTAATATAAATACTTTTTCGCAACCGTACGCATTGGAACTGTAAATTCAAATATATAAAAAAAAAATCCAATTGTAAAAAGTTGCCTACCTTTTAAAAAGAAAATTCTTGAACGGAACGGTACGGACGGAGAGGGTTCTTAGTTCTTTCCTTCCGTTTTCCGTTTCATTTAGTCGGTGAAATCTCCGCTAGCGCCCCCTGGATAGTAAGTAATATCCACAACAACCACGGTAGTACAAGTAGGGGCATTTTCGTTATTTTGTTCATAACGAGGTCTCATTTTTCGAAAATTTCAATTCTTCATAATAATCGGGGAAAAAAAGAGAAAAGAAAAATGGGGAGTTTTTTTTCACTCTCACCGTCTCCCTCCACCTCACTGATTCCTAAAATCCGAAAGCAAGCAATCCAAATTCCAAACGCCGAAACTTCTCTCTGATTTCTTACCAGCTTCTTATTTTCTTCATTATTAAGCGGTTTCCATTTCTGGTTTTTGCTTGCCTTCCATTTTTCTTCTGCTTCTTGATGAGTTAGTGGCCACTCTATGAGCTCCGGGAGCTTCACCAATGGGTTGCGTTCTTGGCAGACAAGTCGCCGACGGTCGCCGGGGCGCATCCGGACCTCACCGTAGCCACCGGACCACCGATCACCAGTCTCGTGCCGATGGAGTTAATGGCGATAGAGATAAGAAACAGGTGACTTCGGCGGAGAAGCAGGGAGTTCGGCAGGACGTGGATTCATTGTCCATTGAGCGCCGGAGACCTGCGCCGGGGCTTTGCCAGAGGAATGAGCAAGGTTGGCCGTCGTGGCTGCTGGAGGTCGCCGGCGAGGTGATTCAAGGCTGGACACCTCGTCGAGCCAATACATTTGAGAAGCTCGCCAAGGTGTGCCACGTGTTCATGATCGTTTTCTCGCTTTTTGTATCGATTCTGTATTTGTAGAAAGTTTGTGAAATTTTTGGTTCTTGGTGATTCAGATAGGGCAAGGGACGTATAGCAATGTGTACAAGGCGATGGATCTTATTACTGGAAAAATTGTTGCTCTGAAGAAGGTTAGGTTTGATAATTTAGAGCCGGAGAGCGTAAGATTTATGGCCAGAGAGATTCTGGTCTTGAAACGCCTCGATCATCCCAATGTGCTTAAGCTGGAAGGATTGGTTACTTCGAGAATGTCTTGTAGTCTTTACTTAGTCTTCGAGTATATGGAACACGACCTCGCCGGACTTTCTGCCGGTCAAGGAGTCAAGTTCACAGAACCTCAGGTATCCATTCCAGTTAACGCAGATTCTTTCTAATTTCTATTATTGGCCGAACCTGAGCATTTTGTTATTTTATGAATGTGAATCTCAGTGTTCTTCTTCCGTGGTTGATATTTTTTCCGCGGATTTTGCTTCAGTTTTAAATTGAAGTTCTGACCTTATTTGGCTAGCTTTTCTTTTCTTTTCCTTTCGCACTTTACTTGCTTTGAATTCCAATGTTACTGCAGCGCGAGTCGTTGGGAAGTTTTCTGCCCTTTTTCTTCATTTTGTCTTCTTCCCCTGGAAAGGCTGACTTAGCAGGTTTTCTGCTTACAAGGAGAAATTTCACGCTTTAACTTCATAAATCAACGAGAGGATAAGAAGAGTTGTAAAAATTAAATTTCTGGATTAGTAAATAATGTCCAGTTTTGGTTGGGTTGAGTTCAATAATTCTCAGAAGTGAAATATAAGATGTTTAAATAAAAATATGCTCCGTCTTTCTTCGGCACCTTTGTGCATTTGGATTCAGATATTACTTCCAGGTTCTAAGTTCATAGAAGAAAAAAGACTCAACAGAAGTTTCTATCTGACATGATTTTTTATTCTTAGAATTTTTGGCTTTATTTCCTCTTCGGACAAAAAAAAAAAAGATTGTTCCTGTCGCTTTAGTTTCTGTTATATACTAGCTGCTAATGTCTCAAGGAATAGCCACATTTAAAAATTGACGTTTTCTTAAAGAAAGAGATCTTAGATGATCAGGATCAGAAAATCCCAAGTTCAAGTAGGACCTTTTCAAACTTCTCCAAGTAGGTTGTATGTAAATACATTCTCTGAGGTTTCTAAATAAGTTTGTGTAGTTGCTCACATATTACAGAGGATAGCTACTCATGAGATTTGCCACATTGATAATGTCAAAAACATGAAAAAGACTGCCTGTAACTGTTCTACCAGGTCAAATGCTATATGAAGCAACTATTGTCTGGGCTTGAGCACTGCCACAACCGAGGTGTTTTGCATCGTGATATAAAGGGCTCCAATTTGCTAATTGATAATGAAGGAATACTGAAAATAGCTGATTTTGGGTTAGCTACTTTTTTTGATCCTGAGCAGAAGCAGCATATGACTAGCCGAGTAGTAACGCTTTGGTACCGTCCGCCGGAACTATTGCTTGGGGCTACTGTTTATGGTATTGGGGTTGATCTTTGGAGTGCTGGCTGCATCTTGGCTGAGCTGCTTGCTGGGAGGCCAATCATGCCAGGAAGGACAGAGGTATTGTTTCCTCCATCTATCTATTCCTCCTCACTATCTTCTTATTCTATGACGTTTTTCTCTAATGCTTATTGTACCGTCCCTGATCTGTCTCTGAACAATTAAATTAGGTGATCCATTCCATATGATGTTATTAATTATTGAGCCCTTGATGCTACATAATTGATTTGGCCATTAAAAATGTAATGAGCATGCCTTAGCTGTTGCATGATATTTCAATCATTTGAATCCTTTATCATGGGTGTAGATATTAAGAAATGAATTGTTTAAGCTTGATAATTCGATCATTTGAATCCTTTATCATTAATAAAATGTGCATGTTATTATGACACATTGGGGACTACGGTGGTACTATGTATTGCTTACATTTATATCTTCCAAGTTCAGTAGATAATGCAACCATGTAAGAGTCTGATTTTTGTTTTTGTCTTTACACCTCAGTTTATTCTGCCTTAACAAGACATTTATTTGCCAATAATTCATCTTGAACTGATGCATAGAGTCACTGTGTGGAGTTGATTCTGGATGACCTTTTCCTGCTAGGTTGAACAACTCCATAAGATATTTAAATTATGTGGTTCTCCATCTGAAGATTACTGGAAGAAGTATAGATTGCCAAATGCAACTCTGTTCAAACCCCAACAACCGTACAAACGCTGCATTGCGGAAACGTTCAAGGATTTTCCATCTTCTTCTCTACCTCTTATTGAATCTCTCCTTTCAATGGACCCCGATGGGCGAGGTACTGCCACTGCTGCTCTGAATAGCGAAGTGAGTAATTTTGATTTAGAACATTGGTTATGTGAAAGTCAGGTATCTAATTGTTCATAAAACAATACATGTCTTTTTCTGATTGCAGTTCTTTTCTATTGAGCCGCTTGCTTGTGAACCATCAAGTCTACCGAAATATCCTCCTAGCAAAGAATTGGATGTAAAGTTGAGAGATGAGGAAGCCAGAAGGTTCTTTTTTTCCCTCCCTTTCTTATTGTTTCTTCCGGATCAGTACTGGTGTCTTAACTGGCAATGTATGTTTTCATTTTAGGCAAAGAGGTCTAAGTGGGAAAGCAACAGCTGTTGATGGTGGAGGCAGGAGAGTAAAAGTACGGGATCGGGTTGGTCGGGCTATCCCGGCTCCTGAAGCTAATGCAGAGATTCAAACAAACTTAGATGTAAGTCGGGTTTGCTGCCTATGTTTCGATCTTTTCATAACTGGTTTACTTGCTAATGTCTCCAATCTGTTCTTCAGAGGTGGAGAAATGTGACAAAAGCAAATGGTAAGAGCAAAAGCGAGAAGTTTCCCCCACCTCATCAAGATGGGGCAGTGGGGTACCCGCCACACGAGACGTCTGAGAAAGGCCATTTTTCATTTGGGGCAGCTGATACATCATTCGGCTCTTCCATTTTTAGTTCCAAGTCTGGATCTGTTACAAGTTCAGGAGCTCCCGGGGGACCTTCCCGGAGGAAGAAAGCCGATAAAGATAACCCCTCGGTGTCTTCGTCTCGAAAATTAATCCGTGCACTCAAGCCATCAATTGGGTTATCAATGGATCTGTTGTTTAGGGGTAAATAAAATAAAGATACATATCTTGAGTTTTTGAGATGCCATATCTGAAATAGAGAAGAATACACATAAAAATGGTTTATTCCTTCACTTCAAAGTTTAAGTTCTTCCCCATCTCAGCTTGGTACATAATCTACACAGTAGAAGTAGTAGAAGCCTGAGGAGATTTCTGTATATTCTGCAAGATGGGGTTTTCTCCAAATGCCATCATTTTGCCGTGTCTTCCATAAAATGTCATAACTTTTATTATTTTTGGGAAGCATGCACTGCTTCTTATGGACATTGGAAATGACATTCTTTTGAGAAATCAAGAGAAACTTTTGACCCTAATGTTCTCTGCAAATGCTACTTCCAACTGGTGAAAAAGGTTGACTTTGAGGTGCTTTCACCAAATACAAGCTGATTTACTCGGAAGTTCCTTTTCTGTTCAGAAAATGTGCCTCCTATTTCAGAAATGACGAGTTGCAACTTTTTCATTTTGGGAAAAATTAATTGAAACTTTAGATAGAACAGAAGTTTTGTTAACTAAAAATTGAATAATTCCTTTCGTTCTGTCATAAGAAAAAATAATAATAATAATAAATCTTTTGGAAGCTGAATTAATTATTTATTATTTCTTAACTTAATGTAAAAGGTAAAACTAATTCCTCTGAAATTGTAAAACAAATCGTTATTGATATTTTGGAAGCCCAATCTCAAGTCATATTTTTGACTCAGCCCAAAACTGTAATTTCACCATGATCCAAATTTCGTACGTTTTACAACTTTGAGATTTGACCTGTAAACTTACAAGTCTATAATTATATAGCAGTAAGTTTGAGATTGGTATATTGAATCATAATTAGTTGAAAATTTTTTCGTTTCATCAATTAATTTCTGTAGATTAACTATCATCAGTTGGCTCATTAGTCCAAATGAACCAACATAAATAAAAAATTTAGATATAATGAGTTTAAATCCAATGAAATTAATCCATGTATGCGCTAATTGGCTAAAATACTCACTGATGTGAAAACAAATGATAATAATTATGTAGATTCATTTATTTTTAACTACTTATTTGCTTAATTTAAAATAATTAAATAAATGGCAGACTAAAACCATGGAGTTCTACATCTTAGGACAAAAATCTAGTAAATACTCGAACATATTTATTTTTATTGCAGAATGATCCTAATCTTTCCAAACCATTCGGAAAAATAATTCTAAAAACGTGAAAATAGAAAATTAGAGGGTTGGGCAAATGTCATAATTATTCAGGAGATTCTCTGAAAGGATGGGTGGTGATTCATGGGACAAAAATACAGAGAAACAAAATTTTGGAAGATGATAAATACATCTCATCCGTCCATCACCATCTCTGGTTGTAAATGTTCTAAAACAACAACTCACAAAACCAGAAAACAGTATTGTCCAAAAGACAAAACCTGTCGGCTCAAACGGGCCATTGCCATTGATCACCATGAATTACTTGTAATCTTTAATCAAATTTTGCCCCACACCAAAAGCTCCCTAAAGGGTTCAAGATAAATATATAATTCTTTTCTAACTTATCATAATCTAATAGTTTAAGTCTTTTTATTAGAAGATCGTGTTTAGTTTTGGCTAAATATTAGAAGAGCAAATTGTTCCACGTCGAAAAAATAGAGAGGAACAAGATGTGCTCCAAATGTCATATAAAGACTATGTCTTTAGGTTTTATTCATTCCAATTGAAACACTTTCAACATTGTACTAGTCCAATAATGGTTAAATGAGTGATATTTGCTTTGGAGTCGAGTAGGAAAATTTGTGTGATTTTAATAATTTTTTTTAATTTCTCTATTATTTTTTTTTTATTATTCATGCGGTAGAAATATAAGCTTTTTCTCAGATCTTGTGGTTGAATTTATTTATTTATTTATTTATTTGAACAATATTGATTAGTAGTTTCTTTTTTATGTTTAATATGAAATAATGATGTGCTATTTTATGTCGGCTCTTGTTTTTTTCTTTGAGATAGTTGATAGTTCAATTTTATTGGGCTAATTTTCGAGTCTAAATTATATAGTCATAAACATGGAGAATTAAATCATATATTTTTTAACAAAAAGAAAACTATATACGGATGGAATTAATGGTGAGATATGGTAAATATTGGGCAAGATTTTGAGTGGGGGTCCAAATGCTGTCTCTTTAATTAGAAGATGGGGACTGGTAAGCCATTCATTTAATTTTATAAATACCATTCTAATCATTGCCCAAAAAGTATCACATTCACAAGTTTTTGAGAACCCATATACACACTCCTACCCACTAATTCTCTCCATTAATAATTAAAATATATCATACTCATCAATTATCACTACACAATTGGATACTTCTATATATGTAAATAGCCACTAATTAATAATTAAACAAAAAAATTTGCTGACGTTCAAGAAAAAGAAACTTTTTACTAGATAAAATAAAATGTGATATCGTGGATGTGGTTTGCAATTGCTAAAGTTTGAAAATGAATCATGATAATACATGTAATGTAATTAAAAGTGGGAGTGGAGGAGCAAAGGCCAAGTGGGGGGCGATCAGATTGAAGGGTGTGGTGTGGGATGAAGCAAATTACGTATCAAAATCGAAAAATCAAACATGAATAATAATTGTTACATAAAAAGAATGGCAATAAATTAAAAGAAAACAAAGCTGATATCAAGATTACAAATCAATCAATCATGCATGGACTGATCAACTGTTGTTGGGAATAATTTTTGGCTTTTGTGAATGCCCCAACAGTAAAAAGCTCTTCTTCTTTTCTTCTCTTTTCCTTTTGTTACAGATGAGGTTCAATTTCATTGGAAACCAACCATATCTCAAATAAAATAGTGGTAGATTATATTATTATAAGATAATATTATTTGAATTGTTATTAGATTATGTTATTTAATTACGAATCTTTGTAGTTTATATTATATTATTTGGATTATGATTTTGGGCTGAATGATGGTTTATTCCTCCATGGTGAACAAGAGGTTCTATGTTCGACCCCTACGTTGTCTCTAAGGTAACTTAAATATAATTGAATCACCAATAAACTCAAAAGCTTAATTAAGTTGATGGGTTAGGATAAAGTTAATCATTTATGGATATTTAACAATATTCGAAAAGCTTAAACTGATTGGGTAAATTTAATTCGTTTATATGTATTCTCAACACTTCCCTCTCACTTGAGAAACAAGGGTTCGAACATAGGACCTCTTGCTCTAATACCATGTTAAGGATATGAATAGACATCACTCAACCCAAAAACTTAATGTTAAGGATCTCATATCGGTAAGATAAGTGGCCTAACAAGGGTTTATAATATATAAGTAAGCTACTACTCTCATGCCAATTGATTTTAAGATGGAATCCCATGAATATTAATAGGTTTTTAGTTTGTTTGTGGTATTGGTATGCAGTTGGGAGAATCGGTGTGTTTTGGTGGTTGATCGTGCTTTCGGTCATGATATGAATTCTGATTGGGTTGAGTTCAGTTTGAATTTAGTTTGATTTGTGAGTCAATTGTCATCATGTCGATTCGTATTCGTAGGGATGTTTCTCTTAAGTTAATTAAGCGTACAATTAAGAAATTCATTTTAGCACTAGCATTGGATTTTATATTGGTTTTGGTATTGACATCGGTTTTGGTATTGACATCGGTATTGGTATTGACATCAACGTCGACATCCGATCCTGATTATTGGTTTTGATATTGATCGAACCTAGGCAATGACATCAGCATCAACATCAACCTTATTTCTCAAACTCACAATTGTTAAAACATATTATTGGATAACGTCATTTGAATTATTATTAGGTTATGTTATTTAAATTAAGATACGATAGTTTAGATTAGTGAATTATTTGAATTATTTGATTATGATTTCATATTATATTAGTATAAATTGCCTTTTGATGCTCCAAGAATATAAAATATGGCTTCTTCTATCAAATAAAACTTGTGTCCTAGGTTTCAAATAGTACACAGAAATTACTTCTTCTATCATCTCTTCGTTGATGTTTAATTTCAAGAAATTTGTTTGAAATGAAAGTAGTTTTGCTTGAGATATTGTCGTATATAAAAAAGACATTGAAATACACATTATTATTTCATAGAGATTTCTTGAACCCTCTTTACATTTCTCGTCGCATGAACAATGGACAAAGATCGATCAACATATAGAAAACAACGAGAATGACAACTCTTCAAACTCATCCCTACCCCATTTATATTTCTCCTCCTACTCCCACTTATTGAACAGACGACTTATATTACCATGGCTGCAACTCAATTATTGTACTTCCAACTTTATATCAAACTATTACCCATCAAAATTACAATCCCAAGAAACCATCTTATAACAAGTGCTTTGACAAATTACAATGAGAGTGGCTAAAAAATAGTGGAATAAAAAAGAGAAAAAATAAATTCCAACTTTTGGGTGTGGGAAAAAAAGTTGATGGAAAGTCAACAGAAAGAAAAATTATTAGAACATGTACACATCATGCGAGGATGGAGATTCGAACTCACAACCGTTTTGGTAAGAGATAGATGTTTTAACCACTTGAGTAAAGCTCAAGTACACAACTTGTTGGTTTTGGCAAAATATTGGAATTGAAGTTGTCCCACATTGGAAGAATACAAGGATTGCTAAAAGTTGTCCACAAGGAGGAGATATGTTCCAACTACTATAAAAGGAGCTCATGAACTTGAGTTTTAATCATCCCAATTGAAATGCTTTAAGCCTGATATACTAGCTCTAGTTAATTGAGCGGTATTTGCTTTGAAAGAGTGTTTTGTGTAATTGAGGTCGGGGAGAGAAATCTGTGTGATTGTAATAATTTTTCACATAGTGGATTTTCCCTTGTGGGCCGTGGTTTTTTCTCCGGTTTGGAGTTTTTCCACGTTAATTCTTGTGTTTCTTTATTTTATTGCTTTTCTAAGTTATTTTCTGCTTATTCCTGCGGTGGAAGTAGGAGATTTTTTCACCAACACAATTGGATTTATAAGAGAAAAATTAACCCATACACAAAAGTATCTTGAATATGCATATCTAAATATTTATTAGAGGATTGGTATTGCGATCTTGGCATTTGGCATATGATGAAAATGTTTATACTTAGCAAAATCACAACTTTAATGACCTCATATAAAAAGTGAAAGTGAAGAAGATAACAACTTTGAAAAGCAAAGCAAAACAAAGCAAATAGGGTATTTGTGTCTATCATGCAACTCACCAACTCATTATAACTCAATAATTGCTTCTTCTTCCCCTTCTCTTTTCTCTTCTCTTTTTGCCCATATTTTTGCCTTTACTTCACCATTTTTATTGCCCACCATTTATTCATAACTTCATTCAAAATATCTTCATCTTCATGTATGACAATGAGACTATTAATTAATTAGAATTTCCACTAATCATGGAAGATATGGAATATATATTAAGCTAATCCTATCATTTGCCAAAAATTAAAAACACTACTACTCGACAAATCTTATCCTCTGGGTTTCTATAAATTCATTAATCTTTTTTTTCCCCCACCTCACCCTATCCTCAAATCCAAACCCCCACCAAAAAACCCATTTCATTTTTGTCATTTTTGCATTATTAATTAATAATTATTATTTTGCTCACCAGTACCATTTCCAATTATATGGTGCTGGGGAGTTTGTTTTTGAGAGATATTTATATGCTTTTTAAATTAATAATATATCAAAAACTTTAATATGAAAAAGAAATATTTCTTTTTATTTTCTTGGATGAATATGGTGCCACTTGGACGTAGGGATTTGGGTCCCCCTGATTCACGCATGGCAGGTCGAAAAAAGCTAGGCAGGATAGAACGCAATAACTAAATTAAATTATAAAGAAACAAAATCATTTTCAAATAAATAGTGTGTTGAAGCTTAAATTAATAATAGTAACCTTGATTCATTAGACAGATGTCGTAGGTTAATATGTAAAAACAAAGTTCAAAACGTTTTAAAGATGATGAATTAGCTGCTTCTATTTGATTTGTTAGTAAACAAAAATATCTGTAAAGATTTCTATCACTTTTTAGTTATTGAATTCTTGTGGTATAGTTCATTTCATTTATTAAGCTACACCGTACACGCTATTTATATAATCATGGAGAGCATGAATCAAATTCTATTATTTATAATATTTTCAAATTTCAAATTTTATCTGGTTGATTTTTGAAAAAAAAAAAAGAAGAAGAAGGATGATTCAAACTTTCTAATATAATACTAATAAGATTTGTGTTAAAATTTGGGAAGGTTTATTATGAAAAATAGAAGAAATTTTTTAGTTGCAATTAATTGCTGCTAAGTCATTAAATGAAGATCTATAATCTTTTAGATATTTCCTTTTAAAATTCTTGTTTTATTCTTATTGTATTAAAAGTTTTTTCTTTTTTTAACCCAAAATCGATGATGCGTGGCCTCGCCAGTTGGATTCTCCTATAACTGAGAATGTCGATGGTCATCCATCACTATAACAAACGTTGCGGGACTCGTCCTCAAATGAGGAGAGGGGGGAAGTCCCGACTATGCACCCTACGAGGCTCAAATCGGGAAGAGCGGGAAGAGGTATCACTCGGGTCAAAAGAAAATCAGAAAGAAAGAAACGGTAGAGAAATGAAGCAAAAAGGAAATGGGAAAGGGGAAAGGGGAATGGAGGCTGGGGACAGTCACGTGAAGAGCAGGCGCCAAGGCAGCTTGTGTATTGTGTTACTGTTAGTGTTTGTTTCGTAACGTACGTAATTCTGGTGGCTTAAGTGATTCTTACAATTCTTACGTGGCATGCATTGTTGGCCAAATGGCACTTTTTCTAAACAATTAAAAATAAAATTCCCACCTCAAGTAATTTCAAGCTTACAATAATTATTATTGTCATTTTTATTTAATTTTATAGGAAACAGTAGCAATCAGGCAGGCTTATATATATGGAGTTTTCTGACATTTGTTATCACAACGAGAAAAGAAATAAAAAATAATAATAAGATTAGGCTTTTCGGCCCCCTCTCGAAACCTCTCTCTTTCATCGCAATCATAAAATCTGTTCCTCACCACAACAGATAGCGATGGCTATTTTCGATACCCATCACCCAGCAGTTTTTGCATTCGGCCTTCTCGGTATCATATCATTTCATTTTTCTCTTCTTCTAATTATTTTATTCCACCATTAATATATATAATTGTTGCTCTAATAATATCTTTTGTTTTTTAGGTAATATTATCTCCTTCATCGTGTTTCTGGCTCCTGTGTAAGCATATAACTTAATTCATTATATATTATATGATCTTGGTTTTAAGTAAAGACATAGAATATAGTTTATAATTTTTGTTGTGTGTTTGCAGGCCGACATTTATGAGAATCTGTAGGAAGAAATCAACGGAAGGGTTTCAATCAGTTCCATATGTGGTGGCACTTTTCAGTGCAATGTTGTGGTTATATTACGCCTCATTCAAGACTGATGAAACCCTTCTCATCACCATCAACTCCGTCGGCTGTGTCATTGAGACTATTTACATTGCCATCTTCATCGTTTTTGCTCCTAAACCAACTCGGGTACGTACGTTACGTTACACAAGCTTTTGCATTTCTCTCTCCTACTCGTCAAAAACTGATCCACCGCCATGCACAGGTTTCGACATTGAGATTTGTTCTTGCATTAAACTTTGGGGGATTTTGCGTAATTCTACTCCTCTCTCGCCTCTTGGCACAAGGCTCCACCCGAGTGAAGGTTCTTGGATGGATTTGTGTGGCGTTTTCTGTTAGTGTCTTCGCAGCTCCACTAAGCATCATGGTGAATCTCATTAATTATCATTAATTTTAATTACTTTCATTCCTTAATTAAAATATTTAATTTTGTGACTTTTAAAAGAGATTGGTGATCCGCACGAAGAGCGTGGAATTCATGCCATTTTATCTATCATTTTTCCTCACACTCAGTGCAATTACGTGGCTTCTCTACGGCCTATTCCTCAAAGACATCTATGTCGCGGTATAATATATATAATTCTCATCTCTCAATTATATTCTTAAATATATTTTTTTATTTCCAATTATTAACTATTAACATGATGATTAAAATACATATTTTATTTTAATCAGCTACCAAATGTTTTGGGATTTGTATTCGGGGTGGCTCAGATGATCCTCTATTTAGTGTACAAGAAGCGCGAGACAGCAATAGCAAAGGACATGAAGCTACCACAACATACCACAGATAATATTGTGATCATCGATATCGCCGCCGTCGTTGCTCCGACCACCAATAATTCCGGCGCAGAAAAAGAATCTAATTCTGTGCCACTTTCTGATAATGTAATAATAACCAACGAAATCGAACTCAACCACAAATTGGACGACCATGAACACGAAAACTTGGGGGAAGCTCAGCCGTCTGTTTAACTGATATAGTCTAACCCTGTTTTAATTTTCAGTTTTTTCTTTTTTGAATCTCTCTTATGTTTTAAGTTTGTTTGTAATATGCTTTCATTTTGTTCTTATCTCTGTTTGTGTACTTGCCCACCTTTTCTCTAAGCTACCATGTAAATCGTGTATAATGGCTAGAGATTAGCGATGGTATGTGCATAAAATTAAGTTTTTTTAATCAACTTTCCTGATTTTTTATGAATGTTTCGTGTTTGCTGATCTTATGTGAGTAATATTTTTATTGTGACTTTGGTTCTATGTTATAGCTGTCTTGGGTTTTATTTAGATACACGTATATACCAATTTCCCTTTTATAGTAAATTTTAAACAAAATAAAGTGTGTTGTATTTTCGTTTACGTCTTACTTTTCTGAGAAAATGAATAAGTGAATTAAAAGGAATGTGTTGTTTAATTCAAAAGTGATATGGGGTTGCTTTATTAATTTTGTGGCTGTGGTAGGAGAAGATTATTGATGAGAAAAGTGGGATATGATTTGATTTTAAATAAAATAATATTTAGATGCTTAACCTAGAGGACCATTAAAAATCATTCACAATTAAGAGAGATAAATGTATATAATAAATTGATGCAAATTTTTTAATGGTTACAAAAGTAGAGAAGATATCTACTTAACCAAAGCACCTAAATATTATTATTTTTTAATATTTAAAATATGTCATGCACTTACCATACTTTGGAACACCTAATTAATTATTATTACAAAAGTTTGCCTATCTTTGACTTTTTTTAATTATTGTTTTTGTACAAAACTTAGAGTGATAGAACAAAATTTTGACAACATAAAAATAAAATAGAAGTAAACATGTACAAAAAGTTTACACTTTTATGAAGTGCATACCTAGCAACTTTACCGTTTAGAAGAGAAAAAAGAAAAAAGTCACAACATTTCATATATCACAATCATCCTAGATTAGCTCATTAGTTTAAAGAGGTGTAAGAAATCCGAAATAATTTAGAGGGAATGAATTCAAATTCCAGGGTGGTGGCAACCTATCTAAGATTTAATATCCTACGTGTTTTTCTTAGCAACTAAATATAGTACGGTCGCATGATTGTCCCATAAAATTAATCTACATGTGTATAAGTTGGTCCGAACACTCTCGAATGAGAGAGAAAGAAGAAATATGTATCATATTTAGTGAGAAATTTTAGAACATGAAAAAATTAAAGAGAGATCTATGTTAGAAAGAGAAAAGTAAAATAAAAGTGAAATTAGAGGAGAGAGAGAAAACAAACTTCAAACAGATCCATGAGTTAGAATAAAAAAGTAAAGTTATAGAGATAGAGAAGTTAGAGGACTAGAAATAAAAAGTTACGTAGAGAAAATTTGTAGAGAGAAGACTATAAATTAATGGAAGAAAATAAAATTATAGGTTAAATATCGGTAAATGAATTCATTTACCCAAATAGATTGAAAAAAGTTAGGAATAGATATTTGTTAGTGAGAGAAAAAAGTTAAAAGAACAGAAAATTTAATGAGAACAAGTTGGTTAAGATGAGAAAAGAAAAGTTAGTGAGAGGACGATAAAAGTGAGAGAGAGAAAAGAAAAATAGAGGGAGAGACAAATTTTAGAGAGAATTTCATTGGTTTTATAATTTTATAATTACCTACACTCTAAAAACATTTTTTTAAAACTTAAAAAAAGGGATCAAGATAGAAAATAAATGACTAGTTTAGTAATCTAGTTTGGATGAAAAACTTAAGCATTTGACAACTATTTATATTTTTTGTTTTTCAGTGTTTTAGAAGCGTTCTCGAAATTATATAAAAAAGTTTGAAAACAATAATTCTTAAGAAAATAATAGTGTAATTAATTATGGTAAATTGTAATGGTATGATAGATTAGATTAATGCAAAGATCATAAAATGGGGTGTCGTGAATACTTTATATCCATTGATGTCACTCCAATTTAAAGATGATAAAGTTTTTGCATTGAATTGATTTGGTACGATGAATATAATCTGCTTTTTGTGTGGTAATTGGTATTAGTATTACGTACACTTCACCAAATCCAATGGGTTTTAATTCCCTTTTCTTTCTTCATTCAAATTCATCTTCTTCATGTCTACTATCATTCCTCCCCCGGCCCTAACATAGAACAAACCACACCACAATTACTTTTCATCAATTTACTTAAATTAAGAAACTTCAATTATATTCTTAACTTCCATTCTTTTTTATTACAATAATCCCAAAGATTTGGTATATCAAATAAAATTCGTCACCGCTCATGAGAATCACTTTCACCCCTCATGTTTAGTTGTGTTTGGGAGTGATTTTGGCATGACCACAATCATTTTTGTCATTATCAAAATCGCTCCCCTTTTCATTGATGATACATTAAAAAATTGACTTTAGGAAAGTTTAAAATAACTTTAAATCGATTTTTAAGGTATCATTTGGATGGTGAGTTTGAAAAATTAGTTATACTTAAATTTCTTTTATCAAAATTACTCGTTCTACGTCTCATCACTCCGAGAGTGATTTTGGCATAGCTAAAATCACTTTGGTCATCACCAAAATCACTCATCGATAAAATGATCATGTTTGACAATGATTAAAATTCATTTTAGAATAATCCGAAATCATTCTTAATTGATTTTTGAACCAGCAGTTTGGTGACTTTTGCCATGTGATTCACCAGGAATTCGATATCTCCGATTCCATCTGACTTTGAACACATCTTCACCAACAGAAATTTCCAAAAGTGAACGGACTCTAAAGCCTTAATTCTCAATTAAGAGTCACTTCATTAACATGGTATCAAAACAAGATGTACTGTATTTAAACCCTGCATTGTTGTTTCCTCCTAATTTATACTCATTTTCACTTTGTTGACCTTGTGCAATTATTTCAACCTGGTTGTTGGAGGTGAATTTAGCCTCACACGTGGCACATGTTGATTGGACGAGAAGTGTGACCTGCGACAATCATTTAAAAAGCTTCAAGTTTCATCATCTCGGTTATATTGTGCCTTGACCGAACTGACGTCTTATGTGGCCGAGCCGAGCTAAGTTTATGAAAAAGCACCCCTTATAACCTGTTAATCTGATTAGCATCATCTCAACTTAACTCCAGTCTCCGACAGACTCCACGACAACATGTCGTGATCCACGACCACCTTAAAGATTCGTTGAGGCACTGTCGAGAATATTGTCGGGAGGTCGCCTATAGATAGATCCCATTCACTCCATTTTCAGGTACACGAATACTGGATTCTCTCTCGAGTTTAGTTCGACCAACTACTAACTTTTGCATCGGAGCTGTCTGTTCTGTTTTGTATGTCACCCGTTCAGCTCATTCTTCGAGCAGTTCTCAGTGCCGAGCTGAGGTTCGCAGTGTTGGTCCAAATGAGAGGAACGTTGAGATATGATATATGGATTAAATTTATCGAACCCATTGCCACTAAAAATTAAAAAAAGATAGAAACATTTTAGGTGGGGGCTAACCATGGCCGTCGGCATACCCCCAAATTGGAACAGTGGGAATCATTTTTAGCACACGCATAATAAAGGACAAACACTCATTCATTCCATCACTCTCTCGTAAATAAATAATTGGGAAATTTTCAATATTTGCACTTTTTTTTAATAAAATAAATATCCAACAAACAAGTCAAATAATTTACATATTTATTATGTTGCTAACTTTTTATAATGTTTTGATAATTTTATTACAAGAGTATTTGAAACAAAATGTGAATTAAAAAAAATCTATTGAAAGATTAGATTTAAAGTATATAAATATCATAAGACAAATATTAAAACAAATAGAAATATATGATAAATTTTGCCACTAATCAGAGAAAGAGATGCAGTTTATATAGTCGGCAAAATATCACCGCACCTCTTTTTTTCGTTATTTACCATCTTAAAAATTCGACTATTTTTTATTTGTACAAAAAAATATTTTGATATTCATTGATCAGGACTCATCTTATTATTAATCACCAATTTATTTGACATCGCTCTAATCTTTTGAAAATAATAATTTTTTTTTTTTTTTGGTATTTCTTCGTAGAAAATTTAGTTTAGTGAAAGATGAGTGTTGATTGGAAATTTAAAATATTGGTTTTTTTTTTAATCCTTCTTTCTCATTTTTCTCCTTGAATGGTGGGAAAAGTCGAAATCATCTTTCGACGATGATCCAATTGGTAACTCCACGTGTACGGTGCCGCACCCTCGAGTCTATGATTTGTTTTGTAAGCCAATTATTTTCTACCAACCATGCACGTAAACTCAACCAAACACAAAATTAAATATAAAAACAAATAAGAGACACTGAAATTGGAATTTAGAAGGAAAAGAAAAACAAAATCAGAACAAAAAAAACAATTGAGCATCTGGAAAAAGCTAGCGAAAATGTACAAGCAATATAAAAGGAAGAAGAGATAATTTTCTGATATCTAATTTATATTTTAGTATTTGTTCACAGAACGGTTATGTTAGCAATCTAAATTTGCATTTGCTTTTTCGCTTTAATTACACAAATACAGGAACATATTCAGGTTCGGGAAGCTACAATTACAATTAGACTTAGGTTGCCAAATTTGAAAGGTTATCAGCTCTAACTTCAAAAATTCTTCTCTCACGATGATGGAAAAATCACACAATTTAATATACAAGTTACCATTTCATTGGACAAGGTTTTAGAAAAACCATTGCAAATTCCTCATAAAAATTGAAGATTAAAATATCTTTAATAAATAAATAAACCCTAGACCTATCATAGACAACCTTTTTTTAATAAAGAAATAAAACTCTAAACCTTAAACCTTAAAAAAATAATATAAGTAGGAAAATTCAAAAAAGAATGGCCAGAAAATTACGCAAAGTTACTATATTTGTTTAATTATTTATTAAAATATTATAATTTAATCATTAATATAAATAATTGCACTAAATGACCCTCCGTTGTCACCGTGAAAGAATATTTTTGAAATATAATAAAATGACCTTTCAAAGAATATATTTTGAAATATAATAAAATGGCATTTATTGAAGACAATTTGAGAAAAAAAAACATATTTAAATCGTGAAATATAGATTTGTAAATATTAAAAAAAATAGATACTTGTGAAATATCATGTGTAATGTAATAAAACTCATTAAAGACAATTTCTGTAAAAAAAAATAATAAATAAAAATGGTCGCCGACTTCCCATTATTCAAGTAAAGGCAATTGTCCCCTCTTGCATGTGGAATCATTTAATTTAGAGGATATCCCTACAATTTGATAGGCCGCCCAAAATCCACATAATTCCGAACAAGTAAGAGGGCCATTCTTGAGTACGGGCCCATTGGGCCTTAGAGATAGTAAGTGCGGAACGGCCCAAACCTAATACGGATCCCTAATGGAAATGCAATAATTCTAGTGAAAATACTTCATGTGCATTTTTTTTTTTTTTTACAATTTCTTTATTTTATTTCATTTACTTTTTATATGCAAAAAAGTTAAACGAAAAACTTTTAATTCTTACAAAATTTTAAAACTGAAATAGATTTTTAAAACTTTTTTTTAATATTTGAAATCTAACTATATTCTATGAACATTTAAAGACTATTATTATCAGTAAATAAATAAGGTTAACTTTTAAAAACAACAAATAAAAACCATTATCACGTTTGGAGTCTAAGAGAGAGCAAGTCAAATTTCTCCAAGTTCTGCCACTAAACAAAAGTTTATTTCAGATTGGAGTAGGATAACGTGGTACCAAGAAAGTCGTTAATTTTTCAAAATAAACTTTACTCAAAAGTTGTTGTCAAATCTATCCCAAGACTAAATTGACAAATTTTTAAAAAATAAACTTTATACTCAAAAAAGTTATTGTCCCATCATGGTAGACTAGTAGACACCTAACCTAACCTATAATCTGCAAATTCCTGGCGACTAGTGGATGGACGAAACCCCGTCGTGTCCCAGTCTTGTTTCTAAACAAAACAACTTAGAAAAAATCTATCGTCTTGGTTATCACTTCATTTTCAGATCTCATATTATTGTCTGTATGCAAATAATTAGTTTTAATTAATGATAAAATGATCAGGACAAAGCCATACCCAAAAAAGTTAAGGGGAAGAAATCCATCATTTTAGGATGGAAAAAGGCCAAACCCACAAACAGAAGCACAAACACCCACCTTTTCTCGATATTAATAAATAATGACCTTTAAATGTGTTCCTCGTGGGACAGAAATTTAGAGAGAGAGGGTCATTAATTTGTAGCCAACCAACCAACAAACAGAAACATTCTTCATATAATGTTTTTAATCTTCTTCTAAGATTGTCACACTAACATCGTAATATCAAATTGTATATAACTACTATTATATATACACTTAGTCTTTCTACCCCCGATGTCTATCCCACAACACCCAAAAAAATGAAAAAAAAAAAAAAAAGAAATTAAAATCGAAGTAGGTTCCTATCAATTCTTCCCTACCTCACCGTCTATGTATGTGCAAAGTTTGGTGTGATGACCATTATTGAACCACAACCCTCCATCCAACCTCAACACAACACTAAAAATCATACCTCTCTAAAGAAAACTCCAAGGATCAGAGACAGAAAACAAATAATGCCCACACAGGCCACACCCATATAAAGCAAAAGCAGAACCCAAAAAAATTTAAAGGAAAAGAAAAGGCAGGTGGGGGGCCGTCCATCGTCAATCTGAAATCGACTAAAGTACCTGCTGCTTCTAGTGCTTTATATGAGTGTCTCCCAGTTGGTTTGGCGCGTGTCGTTTCAGCTGCAGACAACTGAGGAGACTGAAAGCGGGTAAGGAAAAGTGTTGGCATACTGGAAAGAGAGCGTGCCTCCGTAGACCAGAGGCTTGCCGTCGTTCACCAGGCAGTCGTCGTAGCGAAGGCGCTTGAAAACTCTGGGGTTTATGAGGTGGGCTGAGCTGAACCAGCCGCATTTGAAGTGAATGCCATAGATGTCACACCCAGTAACGCAAGCGTTCACCACCTCCACAGTGTAGGTGGGAATTCCAGTGGGAAGTGGAGCAGTGGGGCCTTGGTTAATCACAATGTCTGATTTTGTACACTTTTCACCCCAAATTCTGGTTGGTTCCTCAATTGTTGCTTCTTCTAAAGCGCAATCAAACAAACAAACAAAGGGGGTGGGTCGACGTCATCCGTTAGTAATCGTGTATTGGGCATTGTTCAAGGCATCACCACGTGCAAACATTACTCTCACCAAATAAATATCAACCCCACTAATTGGGAAAAAGTCTCCCGAGACACAATATACACTTTCAGAGGTCATAAAGATGTGTTGAGAAAGCACAATTAATAATCAATTTTAAAAGATAAAGCAAATTCAAAGGCACTGGAGGGAGCTAAAGGGAAACCCTGAAAAAGATAAATCGGCGGGAGCATTTCTAATGTTTCAATAACTTTGTTAAACATAAGACAACTTTTAAAATTGAAAATCTAGAGTATACATACGAAATTTAGAAAATAGAACTTATAACGCTGTGTCATGATTCCTCAGCCATTCCACTAAAGAGAAGTTCACGCATATCAGGTAATCTTTTAATTATAATTTTATATACACACTCAGCGGTGGAGCTTCTTCGTCAAAGGTGATGAATATAATCAATTAGAAGCTACAAAGCTAATACTCAGAAAGGCATAATAATGCTCCGGGCTTTCGGGCCAAAGGTTGCTTTTATGTAATCAATGAATCGTGGACAGAAAAGGAAGAAAACCCGGTGGGCATATGGGATCTATTAAAGACGATTTCTCCAAAAACAGCTACAGAAAGGCCATGTAGGTTAAAAAGCCGAGGAAGGGGGCTGGAAAGCTACCTAGCAAAAGTTGAGCCTTAGCTCCATTACTAAGAATGGACGGGCGTGCACTTCTGACACCAAATCAACATGTATGGCAATTGAGTATCCAATCTCTCCCTTCCCCCAACCCCGAGATCATAACTTCGAAATAAAATCAAAATAATCTACACAGCAAACACAGAACTCGAGTCCTCCGATGCGATTTTTTTACTGACATTAATGTTCTTCGAAAAGTGAATTTCGATTAAATAAAATTTCAAAAACTTACTAGTCAGGAGAAGCTTGCGATGAGGAGCAACTATTGTGGTGTTAAGTCCCAGCGGAAGATAACTCGGGGGACTGGAGTTCATAAAGGAACCAATAATATCCAGATCTGCAATCATGAGAGGAAAGGGATGATGGAAAAAGTAGAAGAATAAGAAAAACATTTTTGTTTCTATATGCAGCATAAGAAGACAAAGAAGATGGAGAACAAGGAGGAAAAGGATAGAAAAACAAATAAAATATACAAAACTAGAAGAAGACAAATGAAAGGTCCGCAGAGAGACGATGTATAAGCATCAACAAATCAAAACCTAGCAAAAACAAATAGAAAACAGTGGACGACAGAGAATAAAGTGCCAGAGATGATTCAGACCTGTAAGGAGCGCAGACAGCGAAAAGAAGATGAAGAAAACTGAGGCGAAAATCACCGAGACTCGCCGAGTAGCAGTAGTAGTAGTAGATAGATCGTCTTTCATCATTTAGAACCGCAATCCTGTAGAGTTGAGAGAGGCTGTTACAGAAAGAATCGGAGAGAGCGAAGGAAGTCGAAATCGAAGTCGAAGGAATTAGGCCGTCCTTGTTAAGAGAGCTTCAGAGAGGACTAAAAAGCCTGCGTTGGGAAGAGGAACGAAAACATCACGTCACCAGAGAAACACAATCAGAATCAGAATCAGAATGAGTCAAAGAAAGAGAGAAGAGCCGTCGAAACGAAGATATGTGAAAGAGAGTTGATTGACTTTGAAGAAGAACAAGTAGTGAAGAAAATCGAGTCGAGGGCTGGCTGAGCAGCGGTCAGAGTACTGACCCCTAGGCGTAGCCCCAGAAGCCGCGAAAAAGACGAATCAAATGGGGAGGGAAAACACCGCGCGCGGCGGTCCAATTCTCAAGGAAAAAGGGAAACCAGTTATAGAGGGAAATATGGAAGCGTGTTATGGTGCAAGAGAAGTGGCAGTTATGGAGGAAGAAGAAAGACGAGAACAAGAGACAGAAAAGGAATAATACGGATATTTTTCCAAAGAAGAAGAAGAAGAGGAGGAGAGAGAGAGTGGGAAGGCAGAAAAAGTAAGAGAGGGAGAGAGAGAGAGAAGCGAAATTAAGATGAAGGGAGGGAGTTATGGAAGAGGCACCGGCACGTACGTAAAAAGCAAAAGGCGCAGAAAGAAAGTTCAGGAGAGACAGAAATGGCAGAGGGAAATCGTCGATACCTGAAAATAACAAAACAAACACCATAACCTTCAAAAAGTGGATATCGTCGTTTCGTTTCAATTTCAACGCATTTATTGAAGAAAAGCCACACACAAACACACAATGCCGCAGAAGCAGAAGCAGAAGCAGAGGAAGACGAAGTGAAACCCTAGGCAGAGCGGAGTGAAGCGCAGCGTGGAAGCGGCGGCGGCGACGGAGGAGAATGGTCGGGGACGGGGACGGGTAAAATTAGAAAATAAATGGGAATTAAAGATGTGACAGGCACCTATATAGTAGTGTTGTAGTGGGGGAAGGTAACCGTCACGTGTGCAATATTTATCCACCGGCCCACACCAACGCGCGTTGCGTAGGCGTAGGACGTGATTCCATTTTTTTTTTTTTTTCTAATTTCTTTTTTAGTCATGATCATAATAAATTATAATATTCCTTTAAATCCTTCATTCCTCTCCTCGGTGGGAGCAGGAGAATGATTTCTTTCACATTACGTGTGCTGCTCCGGGCCCCGCCTTTTTCCGATTTTTTTATTTAACCAGATTAAAAGAAAAAAAAAAAAAAGTCTTAGGACGGGAATTGGAATCTACGCTGAAATTATTTTCTATCACCATACTATACTTAGTTTGATGGCTACATACGTAAAAGCTAGCTTTAAATAATTCTACTGACATGGAAAAGAATAAGATGAATTAAAGACGACTGAATTATAATAAACGGGGAGGAGAATAAAATGTGAAATTATTGGAGTAAACTACACTTCATAAGCTTCCCTTTTCACACAACGAATGGCAAATTTTGTTTATTTTAAAACATTCCACTTATAAGACAAATAGTGAAATTCCAATTGTTGGGGTCATGGGTTGTGAAAAGTAAAAAAATAAAAAAAAATAAAAAGCAAATGTTTGAGTCAATGCATAATATATTAATTATTTGCCCTTCGCCACGTGTAATTTAGTAAGATAGAGTAGTAGTTCTTCACCTTTCCACGTAATGTATTATAATTCTTTATCCTTCTGTTGCCTTTGCTTAGCTACTATTGTCTTTTTTTGTCTCGTCAGCTTCAATGTCGCGTGAGATGAAGATTGGTAGTTTTTGTTTTTTCTTTTTAATAGTGATAAAAATAAATAATATCTTCACCAAGGATTACGATGGTTTTGGATGTTTGGTCTTACCCAAGACATTTTTTTTATTATTATTAAAGAAAAAGGTAATCAATGCAAGCATTTTAGCCCTCCAAAAGTGATTGTAACTTATTTGTCTATAGATTGAATTCGAATACTTTGTTTCAAAAAAAAAAAAAAACATATTTGTTAAAACTGTTCGTAGGATTAATTTCAATAGAGTCCATAATTAATATATAAAAATACTATTCATAACATTTTGAAGTGACAAAGATCGTTAGTATGTATTTATATATGTGTGTAAAAATGACAACTCCACTGGTATCAAACTTTTTGGGTAGTATTAAAAAAAATTATGTAGACTCTAAGTCCAGAACAAGAATTATCATGGTGAAAATATAAATAAGTATCAAATATACCTACAATGTGCCCTCTACGAACTTTATATCTGAAGGGACATGATACAGTCGCAGCTTTGCCGCCCATTGGGCCATAAGATGGTAATGCCTCAATTGGGCCACCAGGAGTCCATTTAAGAACAGGGCCTTGGCCCATTTCGGAAGAACATCCAGACGTCCGGTTGCAAAATTAAGAGTGAAATAAGTTTTTTTTTCTTTTATTTTTTTGAAGACTGGAATAAGGTTTTCTTTTAGACCCTACAAATTTATAGGATTTTAATGTCCTAATAGGTGTTAGCATGAGTTTGAATCTATTTTCTAAAATCTTTTTATTTCTTGTTTTCACACGTATCAACGTCATTAGTTTAATTATTTAAAACAATATAAAACTTAAAATGTATATGTTTTTAAAATAAAATAAATTTATACAAGCTCACTTGTCAATATAATATAGTAAATCGAGTCATCTAGATGGATAGTAAATAAAAGAAAAAAGAGTTTGATATTGTTGTAATTAATTTATATGTGGCACGTGGATAATAAATTAAAGAACAATTATGTTTGGGTTATTCGATGTGTATATTGAATAATATTTATTATATATCTATATCTCTCATTTACGGATGTGGCATGCTAAGTAATGTTGAAATATCTCATATAAGAATTAAATTTACATAGCCTATCCGTCCAAGTTTTTGGATTGAATAATAAAATAAATTATTTAATTAGAAATCTAAGAGAAATAGGGCCTATAATAAGAACATCCCGAATAAATACGCAACCACAACAATGCCTTGTTTGGATTCATCAAATTCTCTGCTAATTAATGAAGGGTCATCCCCTCGGCTATTATAGAGTTCTCATAGCTTCTAATCTTTTCTTTCCCCATTTTTCCCTTCAAAAGGTATGTATATTATATATCAGAAAAATGGAAACACACAATTAAGAAAACTAAATATATGCTAAAAGACAACTAATAATAGCATAAAAATAAAAGACTAGAAATAGCCAAAGCTCATTCCAAATTCAAAATAAGAAAGAACTATATAATATGATACAAAACTTTCTCTATTAAATTCTTGTTTTGTTTCTAATTCAATATGTTTAAAAATTTCTTTTTTTTAGAAGAGATGAAAGATATAATTCCACTGCCTGCTAAAGCACCTTTGACTGTTGCAGTGGCGGCTATTGAATATTTATTTCAAAATTTTCAATCTTAAAGATTAATACGACTCTATCTTAAACGTGTAGCCAATAAATCAATCATAAAGGTTCTAATGATTTTAAGTTATAGTAACCTACTAACAACGACACTTTCGAAATGATTGATGATGATTATTTATTTACATATACCAAGGTTTAAAAGGTTACGTGTGAATGATTGGAAATAAAGATTAAACTCTTGAGATCTTGACTTTTGTTGTAAGAAAAAGTAGGATAGAAAGAGGGGCAAAATGGAGGCCACTTAAATTTCAACAAGAGCTACACAAGATGACATAATCAGATGATGTATTGATTTATTTTTGGGTTAAAAGTCTTATACTTGGTTTGAATTTTGGATAAGTTGGATGAAGAGATAGGACACTTGTCATCTATGTTAATCACCACTTCTAGGAATTGATGAAATTTTTGAAAATATTGGCACTGTAGTTGGTACCCTTCTTTAATTTGTCTTTCTCTAATATTTATGTCAGACTTGTTCGGTGTCTCTAATTCATCGTTTTCAAACATCTCTCTTTAATTACTTTCTCTCTCGAACTTTATATTTGATTTTTATAAGTTTAGAAGAAAAATATATTTTAAAGTGATTTTGACAGGACTAAAATCACTTCGGTCGTTATCCAAATTACTTTTATTTAGATATTCATGTTTAGAAATAAATAAAATAAAATTTTAAAAAATAAAAACCAGTTTAAATTGATTTTAGAAGGAATAGTTGGTGGATGATTTTGGTTTGATTAATGACGTGAGAATCACATCTCAAAATTAAATATTATTTAGAAGATAGAAAATTGCCTTAAAAATACCCCCGGGATATTTTTATTAGCACAAGTAATGGAAGGGGCATTATATTTAGCACCATAGAAAATCATTTTTTATTTAATTACAGAATAAATTAAGAAAATATATATTTATAAAACAATAAATCAATGATAATTATATTAATTATAATTTAATTCAAGATATTTAGTTATATAAATAATTGTTTTATCGTAGTAAAAAGTTAAATAATTGTTTTGTTAAATTTCTCAAACATAATACCATTTTTAGGAGTTTTTTTATTTCTAAAATTACTGAACATTAGTAATTAATTTCACTTCTAATTATATTAAAATCACTTTAAACCGAACATAAATCAACGGAAATCAATGGTCTCTTTAGAAATGATTTTGGAATAAGTAATTTTAGAAGGGGTTATTATATGAAATATGTATCCCTTCTGTATTCAAAATAAATAAATATGCATGTATGTACCCTTTTATTTGAAATATGTATCTCTTTTATTTGAATAAACAAAATGAGACTATGTTTATTTATTTCTAATTATTTCTGTAAATATGGTAACTTGCTGAAATTTCATAAAATACAGGAAAATATTGCATATTTGGAACACACAAAAATCATGGAACTAATTTATATAAATCTTAGTAGTTCAAATAATTGAGCATGCGTATACATATTTATATTTTGCAGTTGGGGTTCGGTTTTATCCTTTTTAAATGGACGCATTTTATAAGACTTTACCAACCAACTTTTGTCTTATACTAAATATGCATAAAATTTATAAATTGTCTTTAATTGATTAGTTAGTGGTAATAAAAAAAAAAATTTTAGTGAAGATTTTGAAAGTTGAATTGTGTACCAATGTTGTTTAGTTACATTTTTTATTGGATAATACTCAATCCCAGCTAAAATCAAAGACAATTGAAAACTTATTACTTTTTTAAATAAATTTTTATATTTACATTTCTCTTTTTTAATTATAAAAAAAATTAATGGTGGTAATTGATAAAAAGACAAGTATTTTTATTTTTTATTTTCAACTATTTAAAAATTAATATTTGAACCCAATAGCTACTTTATTTATAATTTTCTGTTTTTAAAACTTGAGTTTATTAAGCATTAATTTTGATGTTTTGTTATCTGCATTTGAAGCCAAATTTTTTAAAACTAAGAAAAGAAAGTAGGTTTTTAAAATTCTGTTTATTTGTTCTTTTTCTTTTTAATACCACTAAGATTTCAAATATAGTTTTAAGAAAGAATAAAAAAGCACATTAAATGTGAGGAAATAAATATAATTTTTAAAATTAAAAAGCTAAAAATGAAATTGTTATGAAAGGAGACTTGGGAACCATCTTTTCATATATATATTTTTTTTACCTAAAAGTGCATACGCATTTTAGTTTATTATTTATTATTTTCATTCTAAAAGAAACAAAAACAAAAGCATAATTTTTTTAATCTTATACTTATAATATGGATAAGTAATATTAAAAACTAAATATAACATAATAACTTTTCAGTGGATTATATCTAATAAATTATTTTTCATGTAATAATTTATTTATAAAATTTTAAATTTTATAGATGAATGAAATAAAAATGGTCATTAAACACTTTTTATTTTTTTACTTTTTCCTATAAAAACAAAAAATATTTTTTCATTTTTCATTTTTTTTTCTTTTTAAAATATGAAACAAGAGTAAAAAAACAAAAATTAAAAAAAGCAATAAATAAGCTTGGAGTATTCTCAACCTTTAATTGAAATATATGTCAAAGCGAATATAACTCAGCAGTAATTGATATATATTTTCAACTAAGAGGTTGAGAGTTTGAATCATCACTCCTACATATTATACTACTCAAACAAAAAATTGAATTCTTCCTGAAGATAAGACACATCTTCAACCAAAAGGTCTTAAAGTTCGAATTCTTGCTCTCACGTATTATGTTAAAAAAAAATTGAATTTTCATTAAACCTTACTTACCTTTCACCAAAAGGTTACATAATTGGTGTAAAAATATCCTTTTAGAAGGTCAAAATATTCTAGGAACATATAAATAACTAAATAAGGAAACGTAATATACTACCAACACGAACATTACAGAGATCATGAGTTTGAATTTTTCCTACTTGTTGTATTTTAAAAAAAAAAAACACAATATGTCTATTATAATTTTAAAACATGATTCAATTTGTACCCAAAAACTGAGAGAACTTTTCTATGACCTCCTTCCAATTTATTGAGGACGTAGAAAATTGGTAGGGGCCGGGGGCTACATCTACAACAAAGAAAAAAGAGAACTCCTGTATTCAAGTTTGACATTTCTTTGATTATTATATTTGTCTAAAATACAAACAAAAAAAGAATTAATAAAATAATGGTTAAATACTATTTTGTTGACTATATATTTTATTTCTTTGGTTCATTTTTGTGTATGCAATTTCAAGAAGTTTATTACGATCTCTTTTTTATTTTCTTTTATCTTTGTTCATTTTGATATTTATTTTTTCAAAATGTCTATTTTCATCTCCATACTCTTAAGAAGCAACAAGTTTGGTTCTGGGTTACAAAACAATGGAAATTTTTTAATACAAGATTAAAGTTATATTTCAAAAATTGAGTGGGTGGAGTATCAAACTAAAATTATAATGGAAAGGAAAAAGAGAGACAAAATGATTAATTTTTAAAAGTATGATTATCAAAATAGACATTTTAAAAATACAAGAATTAAAATGAGAAAAATAAAAAATACAATAATTAAAATAAACATTTTAAAACTATAAATACTAAAATAAATGATATTTAAACCTAAAATAATAATGCGCATGCGAAAGTTGTGGGTGCAAAATGAGGGGTGGATTTTGAATATAAAGGCAAAGGAAGGAGGTTGGAAAATGAATAATATGTTATTTATTTATTTATTTATTTTGTTTGAGTAAAAGAAAATGAATAAATATTTAAAACCTACTACAACTACTAATTTCAAGTTGCCACTCCCCTGCTATATTATATGCGTCATCAAACTGCCAATCAAATAAGACTTTTCCCTTAATCTTCTAATTTTGGCTTCCGCCCACCTTCCTGCTCATGCTCATCTCCCTTTAAAGTTTTTTTTTTTTTTCCTTCAGGGTTTTTTTAATTAATCCCAAAAAAAAAAAAGAACCAAATTAAACGTGCCCTTTCTCTGCATTAATTTATATCTATTGTGTCTGATGTCTCTGTTCAATATTGAAATAAATCATATGTTATTTCTATAATCATGTTGTCAACTTCCTTGTTTTCTATTTTGTACCAAAACCAACATTAGTTCTTAATGGTATTTTCTTTTTTCTTTTTAAATATGTTTTGAATGTTTCAATTTTTTTACCTCTAAATTTGGCAAACGAGTAAATTTTAACATTCAATCTTACCATTAAATAAATGTGGCAAATTTCACTATTTATTAAACTTTCATTAAAAAATGGTTGTTAACATGAGTATAAGACAGTTATGTTTGACCAAAAGGTCCTGAGATACTAAAACTTTTTTTAAGGAATCATTAAAAAAAAATGTTATCGAGTGGGTTTAAAATTGATGGAATTTTAGAGTATAACACTAGAGCTCATTTTTGTTGTTGAAATTAAATTGATGAGTTTTGAAAGATTAATTCAATGGCCAAATCTTAAGATTTTTTTAGTACAATATGTTGGGGGATTCAAACTCACAACTTGTTGATTGAAAATATATGTCAATTATTGTTAAATTATGCGCGCTGCCAAATCTTAATAATTAATTTGCTGAAATTTAATGTAACGCATTTGATTTGGAGAGTCTTAATTTTGTTGAAATTAATAAGTTTGGAAACATCATTGCTTCTCTTGTTTTATTTTTGTTAAAATTAATTGAATAACGAAAGGAAGGCTAAATAAAAAGTAAAAAAATTGTGAATTGAAAGTTCACTATAAAAGTTAACAAACCTAGAAGAGTAAAAAGTTGAAATTTTCCTCTTTCGTTTTGGTGGCTGCCATGCGGAGTGTGGGTGAAATTAATTAATCCCTCTCCCAAATAAACAATACAAATTGAATTTTCAATAATACTGAGAAAAAAAACTTTCCATTGAAAATGATTTCTTCTCAATCAAATTTAATTCACTAATACCATGTTAAGTATTATTAAATGATCGATCGATCCAAAAAATTTTTATGTAAATTTAATTTATTTATAGAACACATAACAAAACATAAAACTAGATTAAAAAAAGAAAAGGAACATTCGAAATTCGAATGAATCCAAATGTGATGACCATGGCGGTGTGGTTGTATTTACCTCTCTCTCCTCCATGAAACCTTATTATATTATACGTTATTTGCACTAAGTTTTGTCTGGTATGGTGTGTCAACTTGGAGTTAGTTTGGGGACAGGACTAAGTGGGATAACCACATTTGTCATTTTGTCAAACATAAGACCTTCCCCTTTAATTAACCCTAATTATTACTAATGTTCAATATAAACCAGCCCGGCCCGGCCCCGTTGACATTTGACAACACCCATTTTAATTCTTATATAATTATGCAAGTATCTGGAAAGGCTGCATAAAAATTAAATTAAAATTTAAAACTTTATCACTAACCCCGCTTCCAAACACCTCCCTTTCAAAGTCTACGCTATTTAATTTCCCTATATAAACCCCTCCCCCCTCCTCACTTTTCTTTCGGAAAAAACCCAAAAGTTAAAATCTGGAGCTGAGGCGGCTGGCCATGGAGGGCATGAAGAAAAAGTTGAGCAAGTATGTGAGTTTCAAGGGCTTGGCCCGGACCCGATCGGTGGACCCGATGGCGAGGAAGAGCAGATCGTGGAACAGCGGCTCCAAATACAAGCACCCGGTGGCTCCATACGGGTGCTTCGCCGTCTACGTGGGACCCGACAAGCAACGGTTCGTGGTCAGAACGGAGTTCGCCAATCATCCCTTGTTTCAGATGCTTCTAGAAGATGCTGAGCTGGAATACGGTTACAACAGCCAAGGCCCAATATTGCTTCCTTGCGAGGTGGGTTTGTTCTACCAGGTGCTGGCGGAGATGGACGCCGGCGATGATCGGCTCGGCGACGGCGGCCATTGGACGTCCGGCGACGGTGGTGGTTTAATTACTTGCAGTCCGCTCCGGCTCACCACGTGCGCCAGTAGACAGGCCGGCTATAGCCTGCTGAGTCCCTCCTCCATGCTTAAATTAAATGGTCTTTGACTCAGTACATAGATATTTACAAATATAAATATAAATATCTTTATTTTTCTCTCTCTCTTTATATATATAAAATGATAAATAGGCATTCGATTTTGAGTTGATCTTCTTATGCGCGCGTTTCGCTATCTTTGGAAGTTGTGAAGAAATTAGATCGTAAATGTGTTAACGTAACTTCAGCAAGGAAGTTGAAGCCACACACCACGTCATAGTCAAAACAAGAATATCTATTATTGTGCATTTTTGTTACAATATTTTTGTTAAAGTTTTAGATTCTTTTTCTTCTAAACTTAGGATATACTTTTATATAAATAGAGCCTTTGAATGCCATCATAATACAGTGCATCATACCTTCTGTGTGAAACTTCCTCTTGTGAAATTCTAACTAAATGGATGAAGGTTTCAAACGCAACATTAGTAGCCAAATCAAAAATTTGTCCCAAAATACTAGTGTAAAATTTCTAGTGATTTTTTATATGAATTGTTTTATTAAATATTATTTAAAATTTTCTGTCAATCGGAGATGGGATTGCACATGTTCCCAAGAACGAAAACAGAAACAGGAGAGCTGCTCATGAAAAGTTTTGCTTTTCTTTTTTTCTCCTTCGAAACCTAGCACTAAGGGCATTATTACGATATCCGAGAGGCCTTCTGCTTTGATTTAGCAAACAATTGCTTTCGTTCCTTGGTCTATTGTCGACCTATCAGATAACGTTAGAAGTTTATGAATTTATTAGATATGGTTTAAAATTTATGGATTTATTTAACACAACTTTCAAAGTTTACTTTAATTTTTAACTGCTGAAAATTCGGTAAAAAAGTCATACTTGGAGAGTGGGGTGCATGTTCATTAATGAATGACGTCCTTGCCATGCTTGGAGATTTAACCATATATGGAGCAAATAAAGGATTGGGCAGGGGGGTTTTCAGAAATTATGACTTTGTTCATTCTAATTAATGTTTATTGTCTCTTTACTCTAGGGCAATAATGTATATATAAAAATGATGGAGTCGATTTATGAATACTATATAGTCGTGCTACATTTGATATCACTAATATTGTCAAAGTTAATAGTCTAGTGAAAGAATATCGGGTTTAATTGTTTATTTAGAATGGATCACGGGTGAGAATAAACTAACAGAAAAATGAGGTTTTAATTAAGAAAATATATAATTATTCTTCATTGAATTTCCAATTCTCAGTTCTCAAAACTTAAAATTATATTTAAAAACAAACTTTCAAATACTATTGAGATATATATATTTTAAATAAATTATTTCCAGCTTGATGATGTCAAGAAAAGAGGTTGATTATCAAAGGAGTGAAAATTTTCTCAGGCTATATATGTTTTTTTTTAATGAATAAAGAAAGCAATTTCTTCGTTTTTTAATAATTATTTTATAAATAGCAATCGCATGTGGTGAGAAGAATAGAAGATTTTAAGTATATAAATAAAATATCATCTCCATTTCTAGTTTTTTTAGTAGTCCTAATGTTTAATACATCATATTTATTAGGGCTAAAATAAATGTAGTACAACCATTTATATTTGGAAAATTCTTGGTCAAAAAACTACTTTGATCCTATGTACTTTTAGCTTTTATTTATTTTGGTTTGTTATATTTTTAAAATGCATATTTTGATCTACGTAATTTCAAATTTGATTTGTTTTAGTCCGTATATTTTCAAAATATTTATTGTTTGGTCCCTGTATTTTTAAATTTTTAAACAAAATTCTACGCATAAGGGAAATCCTTTTATATAAAATTATTGTTATATTGAGTGTAGTGTCGTGTTAAAATTGTGATAAAAATACGATTAAAAATAAAATTAAATGACCGAAATAATCACTTTTAAAAGATGTGGACTAAAACGAATATTTGAAATATAAGAATTAAAATTAATGAAAATTGAAAGTACAAAGATAAAAATAAACATTTTAAAAGTATAGGAGTTAAAATAAACCAAAATTGAAAGTAGAATGGTATTTTAACCAAATTCTTTTATCCCCAACCTCTATTTCCCTCTCATACTCGAAAACGAAAATCTCTATTTCCCTCTCAGCCTAGTTTGTGGGCGTTTCTCATCTCTTTTTCTCAATTTTATTATACACACAATCTCTACCTACTACTTTGCCACAAATATCCTTCTATAAAAAAAGTGAAAGTTCTAACTCTCATCCAACATACTAGAACTAAAAAAATAATAATAAACTAAGTGGCTTGAACCTCAAATATGCACGTAAAATAATATCGTAGTTTATACACATGATGTGTTTTAATCTCTTTCATCTCTATTAAGGACAATGACACGCACACGCGCTCGTATCCTAATGGTATGATATTGTTGCTTTGGACATAACCCTCACAGTTTTGTTTTTAATTTCTAAAAAAAAGTCTCATACCCATAGAAATGATTATCCTCATGTATCATGCTTTTCCTTTTCCCGAATTAATATGAGACTTTGTTTGCATTCCTTTACAAATCCAACCAGTATTAAAACTTAGAAAAATAATAATGAATTAAGTGGCTTGAAACTCAATTATGCACGTAACATCATACTGTGGTTTAAAATAACGTTTGTTATTATTACTTTTCTTACGCCTCATTGCCAGTTAGTAATATAAACTACCTACATTTTAAATGAATACCAGCCTGCGTTTGACCATAAATAAATCAATGCAGGCAGTAATTTTAGTTTTTGTCAAACGTCGGATCAAGTGTGAGATTCATGCGTCATTCGAGGGTTTCGTGTCAAAATTTGCGGAACATTATGATTAAAGAAAAATAAAAATTCCTGCTCTCCTAAGTTTTATTACAAAATTCCAGATGCACTCTAATATTTGTTCCAATTAATTTTATGGTATTTTTATATTAGAATTGCAGTTATTTCCGCAGTCATTATTTGGGTTAATAATATTCAGTGCACTTTTAGCCGACAACGCCAGGAAATCAATGGATACAACCGCTTCAAGCCGCGCCCATGCTGAAATCACCTGACAAATGGGCCTATTTTCGGCCCATATTGCAAAGCCACACCAAAACCATTTATTTTGAATATTTGATTACAGAAAGGAAAGAGTAATAAAATTACAAAATTGGGCATAAACAGAACAAAAGACGAGGGTTTTATGTGGCAATTGGAGTTGGGTTGGTGGAGAAGTAAGAAGTTGCGGTGATAACAATGAAGCGATTAAGCCACTCCACTAACTCCGGGCACAGCGTGGCGTAGTAAAACGCCATCCTCATCCACGACGGCTCCGTCGCATACGCATCTCCGCGGCAACCGCTCCTCAAGATTCCCTTCACCGCCCCTCCGATCGGCATAACCGGCATCACGCTCAGCACAACCTGAATTACGCAAATGACTGTTTGAGATATCCGTTGATAAATTAAATGACAGTTTATTCATTATTAATCCTTAATAATTATAGGCTTAAAGCTGGCTCCAAATCATGCACAGTTGGAATTAATTAACTTAATTTAACTTACGTCTCTCAGTTGTTGATCCAATTGCAAACGGCCTTCTTTGGACATGAATTTCCCACGCGTCATCTCTGATTCGATCAGCCCCGGCGTGATAATGGAGATTCCGATCTCTCCCCCAACTTCAACTCTCAGTGTCTCGTAGAAGCTTATCACTGCCGCTTTGCTTGCCTTCAATTTCAATTCATCAAACTATTAATTTAAACTGGATCAAGTGATTAATTATAACATAAATTAATAGGTGCGTTACACATACCCTGTAGAAGCTAAGCCTGGGCGTAGGTAGCCACGCGGCGGAGGAAGCGATTCCGATGATCTTCCCTCTGCTTGCTTTCAGGTGTGGAATCGCATAATAAGTGCAATAAACCATTCCCCAGAAGTTCACATCCTGCGCCCCCAACATCAATACCTCAATTACTATTGAAAAATTATGAGCTAAAAAATTAAGATTAATGGTCACTTCACCATTATTGGGACCGCATTGTTGAGGTCGTCGTATTCTTCAAACAGATTGATACTGGATACCCCCGCGTTGTTCACCAAATGATTCACTGTTGGGACAAATTTTATCAATTATATATATTATATTATATTCACAAAAGAAATCGAATTTCGTTTACTTACGTCGTCCAAAGTGGGCCACGGTGGATTCGATACATCGTTTACAGTCCTGAATCTGGGAAACATCTGCAGGGATTACGAGAGCAAATGGTGAGCCTAGAGATTCCGCCACGGCGGCGACTTCCCGGAGCCGGTTTTCCCTTCTGGCGGCCAACGCTAGATAAGCTCCTCTTTTAGCGTACTCGTACGCCAGGTGCTTCAACAATCAAAACCCACACCCCAAATTAAATAATTAATTTATTAAAATCTATTTTGTTGTTGGGTTATAATTTTAATTGGAAGCAGAGGGTGGGTGGGGGCAGAACCTCGCCGATGCCCGAGGATGCTCCGGTGATCAGAACGACTTTTCCGGCGACATCTTCGCTGAAGGTGGACCTTAGAAGGAATGAGAGGAACTTGAAGAACAAGTATGGTGGGAGAAGGAAGATGAAGGCAATTAGAGATGTTGTGGTAAGTACGAGGTTTAAGAAACTGTAAACGAGATCCATGGAATTCTGTACGATTACAGAAATGGCAATGGGAAATTTTGTAGCCTCTGGGTTCTCCCGTTGACAGAAAAATAAATTTTTAAATCAATCGGGTAGTACGTGTAAGGAATTTTCCGAATTAATTCAAAACAAAGAGGAACAAACAGCTTACGTAGCAGCGTTGCATGCCATGGAAGCAACACGTAGTACACTGCTAATTATCCATGACCACACGTCGCTCCATGTTTTAATAACTTCTGAATTGAAAAAGCTTCTGTGAAGACCCACTTGGAAAGGGTTCGAAAATTGCGACAAGACCCACCAAATAAAAATCATAGTAAAGGAAAACAACAGGAGTTCAAAAATCATAATAAATGTAAAAAAACAGGAGTTCAAATATCAATATTAAAGTTGGTAGATTTAATTATTATATATATGGATAATACCAATAAACCACCGCTCAACCTTGGTCGAATTTAATTCTATATTCTCAACCCTAACGCATGATTCAGAAGTAGTTAGTCCATATATATCAAATTCTAGTAATTTTGAAGTTGTATAATTAACATATTCATGTAATTCCCTGTAATTAAAACGTAGAGGGAAATGTCGCTTATTTGATCATTCATAAGGGAAGGCATAGATTTGCAGAAATTCTGCGGCGTGAACAAATAGATATCCGAACTTTTAGTTCCAAACTAGAGTGGACTGATTCGAGTAATTTATTTAGAAACGGTAAAAAAAGACAAACATCTTGTAAATACAAAACGATCGCCGGCGACGGAAAAAGAGATACAAGTCAGTCGGTTTTTTGTCCCAAGTCGATCGCCGGCGACAGAACGGAAGGTGGGTAAATAAAAGTCTTCAATCCAGTGAGTTGAAGCAGCCTCTGCCCAAAGGTGTGGGTGGGGGAAGTTCCAGTCATTATAAACAAGCGATTAATCCACTCCACCACCTCCGGAACCAACGCCCTCCAGAAAAACGTCGTCCTCATCCACGCCGGCGC